TCAAGCACACCCTAACCGAACACGAACCAGCAACCGCTCACTGATGCAGGATGAAGGATGCGAAACTCAGCACTGGAATGACAGCAGGTTTGTAATCTGCAGCGAAAGCCACAAATCTAAACAGTCTTCATCTAAGCATAGCACAGAAAAGAGTTGGTTATTCTGCTTACAGGGCTGGCCATCCCCAGGGACACCGAAGGTCAGTAACATTACGTAAGGAGGACAGTTATAAACTGCTCTGTTCCTACCGTAATTCTGACACATGCAGCTTATATCACATGGTCCCCAAAAATAACATCTATGGATGGAAAGATTGATAATCCATACTTAGCTTAGTTGAGAGAAGTCTATGCCCCTACACCAGTAACACAAAAGGTCTTACGTGAATAAAATTGGCTCGGGTTTCACAAACTGTGGTGGGTGGACCATCTGTGTCTAGAACCCCCCGGGGGCGGGGCTTTAGAAGTGCTTCTCAGGGACCCCACCCAGACCTAGTGAATGAGGCTCTCTGGGCAGGCCCTCGGACTCCCGGAGTGGAATAAACTGTCAGGTGATTTTAAGGCCCACTAGAGAGCTAAAACAACATTATACTGAATTCCGATGTCAATATTTATATGGAGAACTTGGAAGCTTCATAGGAAAATTTGAAAACAATGAAAACTTTCCAAATTAAGGCTTAAAACACAAGTTCTTCTGGAAGAAAAAAATGTGCAACAGAAAAAATCTGTTGACAAGGACTTTTTGAATGAAAGATATATATATATAAGTATACATTACATAGTGTATATATTATAGATATAATATGTATGTAATATGTATGAACAGAGAGAACTCCGGGAAAACAATTTTCTGTAACAAAACAAAGACAAATGCAACAGGGAGGTGGTCAGACAACACCAAACCACAGAGGTGGGTCTTTTTATAATCCATTTAGAGACGTTAATATCAGATCATGAGGTTTATACCGCAACTAAATTCTAACGAATTTAGTTCTGAAAGTAAACCATCTACAGAAGTCACATTTTTAAAACTGCCAAATGGTTAACATGGAACAGGAGTCTCAAGATGTGGGCTCAGAATCAGCATCTCCTGGGAGCTGGTTCAAAATGTGAATGATCAGCCCTCACCCCACCAAACCTACTGAATCAGAAATGCCCCCAAATCTGCGTTTACAAAGCAAGTGATTTCCATGGATGCTGCAGGTTAAGAACCACTGGCTTAGAACTCAAGACAACTCACCTGGACCTCATGCTGTAGGTTAGAGGGAAGTAAATGAAATGAGGGTAGTTTGTAATCTACACGGTATAATTTAAAGAGGAGCAAAAAGAGCCCTGCCTGCCCCCTCGAGTGGCCCGAGAAATGCCTGGATTTCTTAACATCAGAGCAACTTGTCTCAGTTAAGACACTGTCACTAAAGAGCCACTATGCCATCATTTATACTATGCCAAGCCTTATTTATCTTCTTCCTCAGCTCTCACTTGACAGAGAACCTGGATACGAAGGAAAACAGAATGTGGCATATCATATGACAGGTTGGGTTTGAAGTGGAGTGAGGGGTGACAGGCACAGGTGGGACCCTGTGGTGAGGGGACTCTAGAGAGGTGAGGTTGCTTACAGCAGACAGGGAAAGGGAGGCTCTGAGAAACCGCCCAGGACAGCGCTTTACTGCCAATTAGTTGAGGAGGTGGCCTCCCCGGCTTCTCAGAACAGCGTCGTTTGCTACACCCAATGTATACACACATGTGACTCGCATCCAAACCAAGTGTGGATTAATACAAATTCGAGACTCCCTTCTTGGCCCCTCATTACGGCACCAGCAGGTTGCCGAGATGGAATCTATAAACTCCACTCCTGACATTTGCAAGCACCAGGTGACAACTTACAGAGGGTCTTAATATACCCTCACGGTGTTCTTCCGTGTTTCATTTACAGAGCACACCGGTAAGAAGTTTCACTAACGCATACGTCAAAAAGTTCGATGTTGACTTTTAAAACCTTTTAAAGTGCTTAACGACTACAGCAGTATTTGAAAGCACATACTTTTATATTCGACAAACAAAAACAACATGAAAGCCCATTTTTTCATAGCACTATTTCCATACTCTACAAGCGTTAACATTTTTTGTTATGCAGTATATGTCTCGAAGGCTTTCTGTAAGCCTCCTAAAGACTCAATCGAGGGTAAAACTCAACCCAGACTGGTATTTAAAAACGACTAAAATAGAAGATGGAAATGGTGCCAATTAAAGTTTTGCA